GCACAATCACATGCCGTAAAGTTGCAGGATCAAAGGCATACGTATTTTAGGGGAGAATACAGCTGTTTGGTATCAATTGCACCTATTTCACGCTTCATCTGTAGCCACTTCACATGTCATTCGCAGCCACTCAACTTAACTTATGAACAAATAGAGAGGAAAAACATAGGACATCCGACCAAACCATGAGCTGCCTAAGTGGACTAAATTGGAATATAAGAAGGAAGAAAGTTTGAAGCTGTCCACCTTTCTTGCCTTCGTGATCTTGGTGAATTATCGTTAAGCATGGTGTCTTGCTCTGACGATGTCCATTATATGACGGACGAAAGCTCAGCAAGGATTCATCAGGGTCGCAGGGTGGTGCGTCAAGGCACTATTTGCACAAATCGACAAGCATAGCTGCAAGGCAACCCCACCACAGCCTCCGGGGGAATCAACTTATGAATCCCTTCCACTCGCCTTTTTCAAACGAATTGAAATGTACTCCAACGTTTACTGTTATCCAACTAGTTATTGTACTCTAATATATCCACTTTTGGACGCCGTCCTTATTCCTGATCGGATTTTCATAAAATCGGAATTGAAACCTGCTCTTTTCCTACATTTATTTCAATAAATTCTTTTTGGTATCCGTTATTAAGGCAAATCCGAGTTATTTTATCCAACTCCTCATTCCAGAATTCAGCGTCCGTTAGTCTTTAGCTTCTGATGATCATACTATCACTCTTCAGTTATGTTTGCACTGAAAATTAAGCATTCTTTCGGTATATTAATTTTTTAGAGTCCTTGATGTTCCGTGATTCGTAGGCCTATTTTTCTTCCCGTTTCACTAATATACTTCTGCTCACAGTTACCTCATTTAATGCGATAAACTCCCGAGCAATCCAGTTTTCCAATCTTCTCGTGTTTAGTCAGAAGACTGATGAAAAGTCTTGTCTTCTTTGTTATCACCTTAATATTCCATTTTCTTAATAGCGGTCGCGATTTTTGACTCAGTTCACATGATGGTAGGAATATCCAATTTTTCTGTATATAAAAACGGAGTTTTGAAAAATCCCTTGATAGATTGATGTTGGAGTACATTTCATTTCGTTTGATGAGGTGAGTGGAATAGAATCGTAATTTGGTTCTACCGAAGGCTGTGGGGGGGTTGTATTTGCGTTGTGGTTGTAGATTCGTGAAAATACAGCCTCGATGCACCACTCTGCGACCCCGAGGAATCCTTGTTGAGCTTTCGTCCGTCAGATCGGGACACCATGTTTAACGATAATTCACCAAGAACACGAAGTCAAGAAAGGTGGCCAGCTTTGAACTTCCAATTTAGTTCACTTAGGCAGCTCACGGTTTGGTTATATGTCGTATGTTTTGCCTCTCTATTTGTTCATAAGTTAAGTTGAGTGGCTGCGGATGACATGTGAAGTGGCTACAAATGAAGCGTGAAATGGGTGGAATAGCAAGGGAACAGATGAATCCTCCTCTAAAACATAGAGCAGATTTATCGCAAACATCACTTAAACCCACTTATAAATCGAACTTTATTCTTTTGACACAAAGTCAGATTAATACCTTGGCACCATTGAAGCCAACAACTTATCACATTCTTCACCTTTATATCTAGTTTCCAATTCTATGACTTCTTCATCTTCTATCGGAACCGGTTGTATTATTAATCGCCTTCTCGACTCCTGCCAACTATCTGCTTCCAACTCATCTGGCTCTTCAGCTATACTCCCTTCTTCCTCCTTGCAGCCTTCTCCATCATCATCACACACTGCTGTTGCTCCTCTCGGTGACTCTCCGCCTCCATCAAGCTCGCCTAGCTATCTGGGTGGCGTATCTGCGGGAATCCGCATTCGCCAACTGCAGGAAAAACTAACAGAATTGAATGAAGAACTTTTTAGAACAGAGACGAGTAAGATTTGCTTAAACCAGGCATATTCAAGTACAAATTCACAGATCTCATTTTTTCTCGACTCTAGCCTCGCATATATTTTAGAGATAATTAATGCCCTGGAGAATTTTATGTGTTAAATTGAAGATGTGAAGACCAAGATGTGGTGGCCTCTGGTATGGTCACAGCCTCCTTTTGATTTATAGAAGTGGGTTGACCTCATTGTTGCAACTAGGTCTTGTGGTCAGGGAGACTATGTAGAACGCACCTAGTCCGAAGTCGTCTGCCATAGTAGTTGTCATGACTTGGTCTTGTTGTCAGGGCGACTTAGTAGAACGCACCTAGTCTCCTCGTTGTCGCAACTTGGTCTTGTTGCCAGGGCGACTATGTAGAACGCACCTAGTCCGAAGTCGTCTGCCCCAGCATTCCGAGAGTACTTGATACATTCTCAAACGTTTCGCCGGCATCGTAGTCGGCCTCATCAGTCAGTTTTGCCATTCGCCGCACCAAGCTACCAATTTTGATACATTCTCAAACGTTTCGCCGGCATCAGTGAGTTTTGCCATTCGCCGCACCAAGCTACGAACACTTTAAACCTAGTTTTTTTTATACACCTAACATCGCAATCTTAATGAGACATCTTATGATTTAGTTGGCTACTT